CCCCAATCTGCCCGCCTCGCCAGCAACCCACCCTACTAAAACTCCAAGGCGAAAAGTCTTGGACTGCTGGCGGTGATTAGTTTCACGATCAACACAAGAAGTCGCCTCTGCTACTTTTGACACCTTCCCCCGATGACGACCAGCTTCTGGGCCCTCGTGAAGCGTAGCCTGGGCCGACTAAACCCGGCATGTCGTTCCGTCCCAGCGTTGTAGGGGTGTGAGAGGTCAATGGCCTAACGACTACGTCATGCACGACCATGAGTACGTACACCCCCCTCTTTCTCGAGGTCAAAGGTCTCACGACTACTGTATGCACGACTACCCCCCCTTCCCCCCCCCCTCCCCTCCCGTTCCTGTCGTCACACAGCTTGACAGTGCAGTGGCTGCCTTCGGTCAAGTCCCAGGAGAGCAAGGACTACGCGGTGCACAAGCTGGTATTGGGCACGCACACTTCGGGCTCGGAGCAGAACTACCTGATGGTGGCCAACGTCAACCTGCCCGTCCCCGGGGCGGAGATCGACAACCGCACGTACGACGACGAGAAGGGGGAGATGGGGGGCTTCGGGGGTGTCCACGGGAAGGTGAGGAGGGAGGCGCACCCTTATGCTTTGCACGTCTTAGCTGTTAGACCAATGGCCACGCGTCCTCGAGAGGACGGAGCATTGCTCCCGCAGGACCGATCACCGATGGCCTATCGTTCGGGGGGGGGCGGGGGTGGGGGCGAGGATTCAGTAGCATACATTGGCAGCAGCACCAGCACCAGCACCAGCAAATAGACCCATTCCCCCAGAACAAACATCTGCTACGACGCACTGACTTGCTGTAGCGACCCTAATTCTATGCTCCTGCTCTCTGGTGTGTGTGTCCCNCCCCCCCGCAGGTTGACGTGACGGTGAAGATCAACCATGACGGGGAGGTGAACCGCGCGCGCTACATGCCGCAGAACGAGTTCGTGATCGCCACCAAGTCCCCCTCGGCGGATGTGTGCGTGTTCGACATCTCCAAGCACCCCAGCGTGCCCCCGTCCAACAGCGGGTGAGAGAGAACCACCATGGTGCATGTAGATTTCTCCATGAAATTCAGATTCCTACACTAGCAATGAACTGAAGTCCTACGTGATCCCATCAGTTGGGGTTCTCAACCAGGAAGGAATTGGGATTCCAATCAACATATGTGAAGATCATGAGATTCCGACCATCAGCGAACTACGACGTTGCTCCCGTGAAGCCATTAAAGGCGCGCATTGATCGACGGCACAGAAAAGTACATGTAGGAATGTGCACAAATAGCTCGGACGCACAGGTGTATACCTCTTCGTTTAAGCTTCACCACGCGTTACACACATGGCGAGGACTGCCGCTGCTGTACTACAGGATGTGAATACCAACCTCTTTTAAGCCGACATAATATATCAACACTATTGACATAACTGCTGTATTTTGTATTTCGTTTATTGTCGTGTCAACATTATCATTATGAAAAGGTGCCGACCGGAGCACCGATGCAAGGGCCACACCAAGGAGGGATACGGCCTCAGCTGGAATCCGCACGTGGAGGGCCGCCTGCTGTCCGGGAGCGACGACGGGCTGGTGTGCTACTGGGACATTAAGGGGGCGGGCCAGACCGTAGACGCGACTCAAAAATTCGGTGAGGATCAAGAGCGGTGACAGATGCGCGGTAGTCTATGAAGGGTCATTGTGTAACAAGGGTTGCGAGTGGTGGGTAATAAATGTTTGGTTGGGTTGGAGGGGAGGGGGGGGGTCTGGTTGATACTGCTGTGACAGGAAAGAGGGGGGAAGCAGGATGGCGCAGGAGCTTGGGGGGGGGGGGG